AAGAGAAATCCCCAAATCGGTCAAAAAAAAGAACCTCTCTAAATCCTTCCCCGAAAGGGGTATTTATTGTTGAGGGAAGGAGAAGAGTTCACCGATAGGGCTTACGCATTTAGGTGGGAAAATTCATTGAAAAGAATATTACTGGCGAAGCGACCGATGACATAAGTCAGTTAAGACCGGCGAGGGAAGAGGTGACCGGAGAACCAGAAGAGAATAGAGGAGGAAGAAGATGACTGGTTAGGGCAAGAGGGGTTTCAAGAGAAGGAAGGGACGAACACGTGAGAAATAAAAAGATAAAAGAAAAAAAAATTAGGTTTAAGATTTAGAGTTTTGAAATTCTTTTTTTTTAAAAAAATTATTTATATATATATTTTTGAAAATTTCAAATTTTGTACAAGCACGGCGTCCTAACAAAAATGGGTGTCGTTCCTAGCTAAAATTGACGTTCTGGACACAACGACGCAGTCTGTTTCATCATCTGGGATCATTTGGACAAATTCGTCGACGATCGCGCCAAATTAACTTCGATTCATGCGTCGTGCACCCAATGAAATTATTTGACCTGATCAAAGTTATTTAACATGTAAGATGAAAATATTGACCAATCCTCGCATAAGTAACAACCGAAGTCAAAAACGAGGCTCGCAGTGGCAAATCAAATGTCACACATGTCACAGGGTCCACCTATGTCTTTCAAATTTTTATATTTTAATGATTTATGTAAATATATATACATATATTTATATACAGGTATATTACAAAAATGTATTTCTTATGTAAATATCTTAATTTATATATATATATATATATATATATTATGTAAGGAGCAGAGCTCCAATTCATTAAAGAAAACAAAACAAAATACAAAGGGTAAGAAAAGAAAAAAGGAGACAGAAGAGGGGGAATCCTTCTGCTCACTAAAGGTTCTTCTGTATAGAGACCCCTTCTAGCCAGCCAATTGGATGGTCTATTTCCTTCTCTGTGAATATGGGAGAACTTGATAGAGCAAAATTTAAGCAATTGATGAATACCAGAGATCCAGCTGATTAAGTTCCATGGGGTATCTGAATACCCATGGATAATGTTAATAAGTTGCAAGGAGTCAGATTCAACCCATAACTGATCTAACAGGCAAGATCTGGCTAAGGTGATGGCCCAAAAAATAGCTTGGTCTCATTGTACTTCAAGTGAGTCAAAAGCTTTAACAGGAGATTGAAATTATAAGATACATTTCCCCTCATGGTTCCTGAATACCCCACCAATGCCAGTAGACTGAGATTTGTGGCTGCCATCAATGTTAATTTTGGTCCAGCCAAACTTTGGGAGGGTCCAACAAATTGTCACAAATTTGGAAATATGTGCTTGAGAAAAAGACCAATCTCCAACACAACCTCAAACTTTTTAAATTTAATCAGTTTTTGAATAAAAGCAATACAATTGAGACCTACCCTCATAGGATCATGATGGGAGTTATCATGCTTTACCTGGTTTCTAGCCATCCACACAAACCATGCCACAATATTAGGGATGTCCTGGAGATTAGATCCCCTCCAATCAGACCAGCTAGTATAGAAAACCTTCCATGTGAGATTCATTGTTGGGATCCTAAGTTTACCAATCACAAAAGACCAAACATCCTGTACCCAAATGCAATCAAAGAAAAGATGGGTAATAATTTCCTCATGAGACTGGCAGAAAGTGCATCGGGAGGGACCCCTAAGCCCTTTCAATTTTAAAATATCATCAGTTGGAATCAATTTCAAGAAGAGTCTCCATATTAAAAAGGACATGGATGGGGTAAGGAATTTATTCTAGATGGTATGACCCCAGTGTACCAGTTGGGGGGGCTGAGAGGGGATAGGGTTCTTTCTTATAACAATTCTGTCTTTAACCCCAGGTTTAACAAACAGCTTCTGAATATTGGATAGTTGAGAAGGGCTGTAGAAAGGAAGGATTGAAGAAAGGTTCCACTTTCCATGAGCCCAGATGTCTTTCACAAAAACTGGGGCAGCTAGAGCAATCTGATTATGCAGAAGGCAGCCATCCAAGGTCCAATTATCCCACCAGATGTTTACCAAGCCCTCACCAATTTCCCAGATAAACAATTATTCAAAATCTTGCCTAACTTTTAACATCCTTTTCCAAATAAGGGAATCTCCTAAACCCACAAAGAGTTGGGAAGGATGGCGATACCTGCAATATTTTCCCCACAGGAATTCAGCCCATAGGGAGGACTGAGATCTGAATCTGAGCCAGAGTTTACAGAAATTAGTGTGCATAATTTGGGAGAAAGACTTGAAGCTTAACCCACCTTCCTCAACAGGTTTACACACCTTAGCC